CAACCTAGAAGCGATGGCCTTCAACCTAGAAGCGATGGCCTTCAACCTACTAGCAATGTAAATCTGCTGTCTTTTCGTGTCTTTAGACATCTCTAGACTTTAGACTCTTTGTCTTTAGTAGGAACAGGAAGCTACTAGGGGCTCCTGGCATCGCTACTAGGAACAAGAACGCTACTAGGGGCTCCTGGCCGTACTACTAGGAGGAAGTAGCTAGTAGGAACAAGAAGCTACTAGTAACAAGTGCCACGCTAGTAGTAACAGGTGCCTTACTAGTAGGAACAAGAAGCTCAGTCTTCACTCAGCGGCTCTCGCCTGCGACTTTGGCCTCCTCAGTGGCGACTTCCACCGGCGTCGCTGTCGCTTCAGGTTCCGCTTCTGCTTCGATGGCTTCGCTTCGGTCTTCTCCGTCTTCTGTGCCTTGTTGCCCCATCTCCGCCAGATCTGCCTCTCTTTCATTGACTTCCGGTGTAGCTCCTTCTCTTTCATCTAACCTTCGGCTTTCCTCATCCTCATCTCTCTGTTCCTCTCCCTCCTTCATCTGCATCTGTCTTTCAGCATGTTCTCTTTCAGATTCATGTTCACCATGTTCTCCCTCCTCATCACCTCGGTCATCGGCACCTCGCTCCTCGTCCTCGGTGCGCTTTGGGCTGGGCTCGGCCTCGCCACTTGGCTCCGCCTCGTGGCGCTCGCCCTTGGGCCTCAAACTCAGCTTTCGAGCTCCAGGTCTCGGAGGCGAATCGTTCCTGAGAGGTTGAGGAGTTCGGAGTTCAGTCTGAGTCATTCATCTGTGCATTTAATCTCCTCTGTAGGCCTTCAGACGTCACTTTAGTCTGCCCTATTAGGTCTGGAATGTCTTAGGACTTTTTTCCCAACAAATGGACAAAGCGTCTGGATCGGCGTTTAAAGAAATGTTCATGACATCTGAGACCTTCTTTTAGGCCCATTTTAGGCCCAAGGCCTGGCTATCAGTCTTCTCCGAAGCGAAGTTTAGAACCTGCCTTACAGATCTTACAGGGTATGTTACAATGTGAACCGTTGCAGCTAGTACCTGAGAGGTTAGCAGTTTTATTCGGTCTCAGCTGTTTCTGTTCCTTGGCTCTGGGATGCTGGCAGAACTACCTCGATCCACTCACTGGTCTGCAGCCTTTGGCCTCAGAACGGTCATGTACATGCGCTACGCGGTGCTGAGGTGATGCTTTGTGTATGAATGCTCCACGTAGCTTCTTGCTCCTAGTAGTCATGCCAGGAGCTACTAGTAGCCTCCTTGCTCCGTTCGTAGCGATGCCCTTTGTTACATTTTGTTACTAGTAGTAGTAGTAGTAGTAGTAGTAGTAGTAGTAGTAGTAGTAAGAATGCTACTAGAAGTAATGTCACAATGTTACAATATAGTACATGTTTCACGTGTGCCAGCAGGTAGTGCCCCCTTTACGACTATTTCTAATCTACCCCATGCTAGTATAGCAAAGTTGCCGTTCTTGGGTCTTGGATGTCAGTCTTCAACAGTTTGGCCCAGGCTTATGCTATTAGGAAACCTTTGAGTTTAGGATCTTCTTAGAAGAAGAGCACGAGCAAAGCTATTAGGTTGGGGCCATCGCTAGTAGCCTATTTTGGTTTCTTCTTGTCTACTTCTGTGAGGCAAAGCCCGGAACCTTGTTCGTTGGTGCCACCAATGATCCAAACCCTGTCACAGCCATCCCTGTCCTGCAAGGTTTTGTTGGCAAACAAATGCATTGCAAGGAAATTCAACAGGCAAAACGAAGCAACACATCTTTGCTTGACAAACACGCACATACCGACCGCGTTTTTCTGGTCCTGCTCAAGTTTTGGCACTCCGACTGCCGCACAGGCTGCCCGCCTTTCCAACAAAAAGTGATGAAATTGAAGAAAAATATCCACAAATGAGGCAAGTGTTGTTCCAGAACTTTCCAACCCACAGGGAATCTGTAGTCTCTGCCGCCTTTCGAGCATTTCCGGACCAAGCACTGAGATGGCACGCCTCACTCCAGGCAACGCCTCTGTATAAAAAACCAATAGCACTGTTGCCTTACTGATTGTTCAACAACTTTGATTTGTTGGGAGTTGTCTGACCACACGCAGGGAGCTGTCTGAAAATCACTTGTTTTTGCGAGTGCTCCAGTTCTGGCATGGCATGTCCTGTCAGTCATTCGATTTGTTGGCAGCGTCTAGCACTATGTGGCAGTGGAAACCTAATAGCGTAGCGATGGCCTCCAACCTAATAGCGACGGCCTCCAATCTAAGAACGCCCCAAATCAAATCTGAGGTGACAGGCCCAAGATCTGCTGGATGCTCTGGCACCTCTGCAAAATTTCTGTCTTCTGAGCTTCTCGAAGTGTCTGACTTGTCGTTCTATATTTATGTAATTCCTTCCTTCCTTCCTTCCTTCCTGGTAAGTCTTACGCAATCCCCCTGCCGCATCTGCTACCAAAAATGTCCTTAAAGAAACACGTCGGACAACTCCTCAACTGATTTCTATCCATTCCACGAGGCTCGGCTTCTGCGGCTGCAGGGCCAGACACCAAGCACCAATGGCCGTCAATGGCTTCGGTATCTGAGCCCCGACAAGTGATTTATTTGATTAACCGATATGGCACCTCGGATCCTGTACACAATCTCGCACTTCTTGGCTTCAGGCTCCACAAAAGTGCACTGAAAACGGCTTCCGCATGCAAAACAGTTGATCATCTGTGCTCTTCTGGTTGTTCTTGGGCATCGTCTTCCTATCTTCCCAGAGTACAAACAATTAAGTAATATAATTACATAATGATCATTTATAAGTACTAGCACCTGTGCCAGAAGTAGATCGAGCCAAACAAATCTCAGGCCAAATGCCTGGAGACTGTCGACTCGTGTGGCTGCCCGGCTCAAAAGGTGGCAGCAACGTGCGAGGTCGTCCGAGGTAAGTCATTGGCCAACGCACGACGGGGCACTTGGGAAAGCCCAATCTGGTTAGCTACAAGACATGTTCGAACACCTCAAGAAGAGGCTAAGGAACTTCTTGATCCTGGCTTCCACACTCCAACTCATCCCCCCTCATCGCTCACTGAGTGGAACTGAGACGCTTCCACGCCGGAAGAAATCGGATTTGAAAAAGGTGAACTCTGGAACGATGCGTTGGCATTCAAAGTAGAAACGCTTTTCGTCTGCTGCTCCCATGGAGAATGTTTTGCGGGGAAGCACGCCCTCCTTCACAACTGTCTTCACCAAGTCATTCTTGTCCATGATGGGAAACAGGAAAGCTAGGTTTGATGCCGCTTCAGCTGTTTTCTCTGCTATGACTTCCTCGCCATGCACATAGTCCACCGACATGCTTGGATGGCCTGCTAGGTATGGGTCCAGCCAGGCGGTGAGGGTGGCCACCTCCAAAACGAGGGGGCTGTGGGCAATGGCCAACACGCCGCTGCGCTTTTGGCTACGAAACTCCACGTAGTGAACACCCTTTTCTTTATTCCTCAGCGTCGCCAAAGTACCAGTCAACATCTGCAACGGTCCCCAGCCACGTTTCTCGACGTCTGCTTGCAAATCCTTCAATGCTTTGTCTACGTCGATGTTGAACACAAGCCGATGGATGGGCTCAAAAGTCATTCCCGGGTCATGGATATTCACCAACTCGACCAAGGCATGGCGTGCCGGGTGAGTCTCTGGATCTGCGCCTCCAACCCGGTTGGAGGCCATCGCTAGTAGGTTGGAGGCCAACACTATTAGTTAAGTTTCCGGAGCCAAATGAATAGTGCAAGCGCTTCCTTGAAGAAGCGTGAGCTATCCTGCGTCCTAGGTAATAGCCTAATAGCTACTTAAGCTACTAGCGACTCGCCAGCTTCTACTAGCTACCTCTAGCTACCTCACCTCTACGGCCTACCCCCCCAGGCAAACAAGAAAAGACAAATGTTACTACTAGCGATGCACTTGTTCCTAGTAGCGTGGCACTTGTTCCTACTAGCTTCTTGTTACTACTAGTAAGGCACTTGTTACTACTAGCGATGCACTTGTTAATATAGTCTTTTGATCTGTGCCTTTTCGCTTCAGGTTTTCCCAGCATTGCTTCGCTGTGGCTAAGGAGTGGTTCCCATCACCGACCTCAAAAGCGAGCGGCGAGCGGCTGTTGGAGACCTTTCGGGTTTCTCTTGGTGATCCGGTTCTATCCTGAAGAAGCTTGAAAGGGTGCCCCAGAAGCCTTGCGCAAGAAGCTTGTCTTCTGCAATGAATCTTGGATGTTGAAAAAGACCTCTCTCGTGAGTCTTGGACAAGAATGCTGTGAGAAACGACTGAAACGGTTTTTGTTTCTTCCGCTCATGGCTAGGTCGGCGGACGGGAAAAAGGATCACCCCCTGGTTCTCTGCAGCCTCATACCTCCGTCGGAAGTTCTCCGGTGAGGCCAATGACCGGAGTGCTGCTACGACGCCTTCCACTGCGGCACTCCTGAGTGTCTGTCGAAACAAAACGTTTCGATGGCCTTGTTTCCGGAACAAAACCATGAACATCCTCCTCTCAGCAGTTGGATGTGTTTTACTAAGCCTTAACCCATCTTAACCCCTTTGGCACTCTTCCGGTAAATCGCAGCACTTGGGAGGCAAAAACCTAACCATTGATAGTCATTGACAATTGCAATAGAGGATTTCTGGAATGCACGTTGAAGAACATGTACACATCGAATCATCTGAACCTAGCTATCTGATGTCACATCCAAATGCAAGTGTAGCGTCTCTGCGACATGCCAGCCTGACAAGGCGGCCGGAACTGTCAAAGTCACAATTTCTCCGGTTTATTCGGACAGTTTGCACATGCTTTCAAACCCTCCTCTGTGACAAAAAGATTGCTCCTTCTGTGACACGTGTGTCCAGCCTCGAAGATGTCCACTTCCCTTCATCAAATCGAAGTCATAAAGCTTTGGAAAGGTGTCCGCCCGAGCCATCAACGGCTCAATCACTGTTTTCGAAGGATCATCAATCAGCACCTAATTAGGCAAATCATCGCCAAATCTATATAGCCTATAGCCACTCCTATAGTGGCACCATCAGTGCATCAGTGCCAAAGAATTGGATTCAAAACTGTTAAACAGGCGCGTGTTGAAACTCCAAATTGAAGAATTCAAGCCAAGATGCTAAAATGTGTGGCAACTCCAACGGAGACTGCTCCCTGATTGCGATGCGAGGCGGAAGGCGCTCAGGGATTGTCTTCTCGGTTGGACGGATCAAACTTTGAGAGCCCTTCTCAAAGCTGTACATGTCAAGGTCAAGGGCGACCAGGAGTCCTTGCGAAACAAAGCAAAGCAGAGTGATGAAAGGCCTTTGAACGTTTTTTTTTCAGCCCCAGGCAGAGGAAAAGACCGAAAACAGACCGCTACGCCACTGTCCTTTTGTTATCTTGGCCATCTGCGAAATGGCGCTGAGTCCCGAAAAGATATCTCCGCATCCGCGGACTTTTGACCCAACCCGCCACTGGCCGGGCGCCGTTCGTCCTGCTTCGCTTGAGATGTTCGGCTTGGTGAGACGCTTGGCCAGCTGGCAGCTGTGCGGCTTCGGTATGTCTAGAGTGGTTGATTGATTTTCAGGTGTTTGGGTTGGCGATTTGGTGCGTTTAAGTTTGGTGGTTGTGTGTGGCATGTGGCTTCCTGTGTTCTTGGTTTGCTTCAACTTTAGGTTGCCAGGTTTTGTAACCTAAAAGCTTGACGTCTTGATTTTATGCGGTTGCCTGACACTGAAGCACGGTACAAAGGCGTTTTTTGCAGATCTGCAGGTTCCCACTCTTTAACTCACGTGTCATATGCAAAAAGACACGTTCAAAATTGAAAAGGTTACAAAATGGTTACGACTGCTATTGCAGTTCAGAACCGCTCTGTGGATCTCCCAATGCCTTGAACCTTTTTCAGCAAGCCTTGGCATCAGAATCTCTCCTGGACTGGTGACCCCAAAGGCAATCTGAAGCACGATTCGTATGGCCACCCCGAGCCGACTAAAAGCTTTTGGATTTGGCCCTCGTGGTGCTCAGGCTGCTCGGGTTGGGCGCGTGTTGCTTGTTCCGTTCGACTGAGAACGACAAGCAGACAAGAATGACGAAGAAGAAGAAGCAGGAGGAGAAGAAACAAAACAAGAAGAGAAAGAACTAAGAAGTAGAACAAGAGCAAAAGCAAGAAGAATTAAGAAGAAGGGAGGAAAGAACAACATGAACGCTTCGGAATGCCCCAAGCCGGCCTCCTATTCCTACCACACACTCCAAAACAGAACATAATGCAACCAAGAGTCCCTTCCTGCTTGACACATGCGGCGTTTTTCGATCAATCAGTACGAAGCCCGGGTGCTGTGGTTCAAGAATCCGATCTCGGTCATACTCGTACATCTTGTCCCTGATGCCTCTGATGATTTGCTGGTTCCCTTTGGCATCCCCCAAATACACTTCCGGAAAGATCAGATTCAATGTGGACGGCGCATCCTTCACGATGTCCTTGACTGCTTTCCAGTACTCAGGCTGGGAAGTGTATTGATCACAAGCGATGACACACCACTTGGTGAAGTCCAAGCCTTGCCGTGGGAGCAGAACCCGCGGAACCTTCAAGCCCAAATCCGGGAAGCGCAAGTGGTCCGCACAGCGGAACATTTCATGGCCCGTGGGACCAATGCCAATGCGCGTGAGCTGTGCCGCGCTACGTGCCAAGTTCAAGACGTTCCGGAGAAGAATGGCGAAGGAAATGTGACCCATCCCACCCGGCACTGGCGTGATCTTAGAGGCGACGCGCACGGCTTCCTCGAAGCAAACATCCCCCACGATGCGTCCTTTGCCTCCCTCTGGCACTACCTTGCAAATGGAGTCATCTCCAAAATCTGAAATGAAACGGCTGCCTAGGAGGCCACCGCTAGTAGGTTGGAGGCCATCACTAGTAGGAAACGCCTGCCTAATTACATCATTCGTCCCTAGACGCAGTTTCGGCTCGATCTTTGCTCAGCATGGCTGTGCACACACATGTTGCAACCAAGCAGCGTTCATTCCAACATCAATGATTACTGCCCCCGGTTTGAGCCAGGCACCCCTCACAAATCCCGGCCGCCCGGCGCAAGAAACGAGAATGTCAGCGCGGGCAATGTGTTCCTCCCAGGGTTGGGCATGCCAAACATGGGGCACTTGCTTTAAGTCAGCAATAGACTCGCGGGAAATTCCATGCATGAAAGGAAGATCCGAGGCGTTCTTGAAAACAGCTGGTGGGATGGGTAGCAGCGGGTAGCAAGCTCTCTTGTCGATTCGGACGACCGCGCACGTGCAAAGCGAAGCGCAGGCTCCAAGCCCCGAGCCTCGACCTTCACACTTTGGCTGTGGCACGTGGTGACTGTACAGTCGTGTGCCGTGAGTAGTGCAGCGATCGGTGCACCCACCGTACTGGAACGGCCCAGCACCACAGCGTGTTTGCCAGGTAAGTCCACCTGGAACGGCGCGAACGGCGTGCTGCGATCAACACGGCTCTGAGCCGTTCAGTCCAAGAGAGGGCACGGAGAGTGCCTTGAACGACTCTGACATTGCTATCAGGTTGGAGGCCACCGCTTTTAGGTTGGAGCCCATCGTTTTTAGACTCTGCCTGCCTTTCAGGGATCATTTTAAGTGCACCAGCTTGGAGTCGAATCACATGGTCGCTCGTGTCGTTGGTGCATCAAGCGTTGGAAACCAGCCAGTGGTGTTTTCTGATTCAATAACATATAGATCAAACATGAAACATGTTGGTTGTAATGCTGTAGTAAGGCTGCATGTAGTGAGACAGTGAGACTGTTGTGACGTTTCACCACCTAAGGGCTGGGAGGCAATGTTGGTGTGGGAGTCCTGTGGGAGTCCTGTGCGCAAAACATGACGGAAACAAAGACACATCATATGTTTCACTGCCGAAAGACTGACTAGAAGCATCATTAGACAAGACGACTATTAGCATGCCTCCGTTGTCGCATCATCACACATCACACGTTGCACGTCTACATCTGTCTAAGACAGAGTCTACATCTCTCTCTAATATGGTTTCTTTCAAAAGTTACTAGCGATGCCCTTTACTAATATGCACGAAGTATGAAGAGTTGGAGGCCATCGCTAGTAGGTTGGACATCGGCCCTACAAACATGTTTCATTCGACAGAATCGTCCACAAGGATGGTGGTCCTTGCTCCTAGTAGTAAGGCCAGGAGCCCCATTCGTAGCGTCCTTGCTCCGTTCGTAGCGATGCCCTTTGCTACTAGTAGCGAACATTGTTACTACTAGTCAGGCACTTGTTACTAGAAGCGATGCACTTGTTTCTACTAGCGTGGCACTTGTTTCTAATTCCCACCTTGGATCGCAAAAGCAACTCCATGACACCCATGGGGACGGTCGGCCGGCTGCTGGGCTCAGCGCCGGATTTGTAGCCACCGCCGATCATCAAACGTCCAAGGTTTGCAAAGGCCAAGCCATCCACATCCTTCGAGGGGCCGATGGCTTGCAGGATCTCCATCTCATTCAAATGTTGTGGCAAAGGTAATTCTACCAGAATGCCATGGATGCTCTCGTCCTCCATGAGACCTTGATCTCCAAAAAGCACGAACTAAGCCTCACATCTAAAATTTAGAAAGGTTTTCAAGATTGACACTTCTGCAGGCTTAGATTGCGAGCACCCCTCGCCACTTTGGGTGAGGAAATTGGGATGCTCAAAAAAAGCAACATAGCGAAGGAGAACCAGTGACTTCAGTCTTGGAGCTGAGAAGATCTGGCGAAACATTTTTAGAGTTTGGAGGTTGCGCTTTGACTCCTGTCAGCTTGATAGCGATAGCCTCCAACCTAATAGCGATGGCCTCCACCTAGTAGCGTCCTTGTTACTAGTAGTAATGCAAGGAGCTATTAGCAGCTTCTTGTTACTAGAAGCGATGGCCTCCAACCTAGCAGCTTCTTGTTACTAGTAGCGATGCACTTGTTACTACTAGCGATGACCTCCAACCTAGTAGCGCTTTGACTCCTTTGAGCTGGATACCCCATAGGCCCTAAGTGCTGACCATGGTACCCTGGATGATGCGAATAAGCCGAGCTTGGGTCACTGTCTCGCTAAAGCGCAGGATCTGCACGTGCATGCCACAGCGTTCCGCCATCCTGGCTTTAAGCTCTGCATAGTTTGACAGGTTCACCTTGTGCTCATCCAACTTCTCAGGACCATCAGGCTCCAAGCCACTGAAATCCAAGAGCTGTCCATAGTTGTGATTTCCCACCTTCCACACAAACGGGCACAGTAGTAACAAGAAGCTATTAGAAACAAGTGCCACGCTACTAGCAACAAGTGCCGAACTAGTAGTAACAAGAAGCTATTAGTAACAAACGGGCACCGGACCGGCCTCTCTCTCGACGTCGGCTCTCTAACGAGATGCTCGGTCGAGTCTCGTCTCATCGTTTCTCCGACATCCGCGACTCGACTCACAGCTGCCTCAATGATGGCCAGCCCGGGAGTCACGCCATATTTGCTCTGTAGCTCCCGGGCCGCAGTCTTCACATCATGACCTCACACTCAGATCCCATAGCATCACGGCATGAATCGTGCCGTGTTTCGAATCCACACTCGACACTCATGTCCCATAACTTCCTCTAAGCAACACAACGCAGCGGCAATACGACGGCCATCGATGATCTTCTCATCGGTCTGCCGGCGGGGACTGCGTTCACCTGCGTTCACCACCCCTTATGCGCCCGGCCCGACGACCGACCGTCCAAGCGCTCCGAACCGGAAAAGCCTTGCACTGCCTTACCGTAAGGCCCTACCGGATGCCTTGCTACAAGGCCTTTAGGTCTGGACAGCCTTAAAACCTTGACAGGCAAACAACGGAACGACGGAAGGCTTAAGTCCGCTTTTCTTCCAAGTCGAGTGAATTGGGAGTTAGGACAACACACATATAATATATATATATATATATATGTAGTCATATATATAGTTACATAGTATTGAAGTGTGTCCGGAAAAGCCTTGTAAATCCTGGTAATTGTTTGTGTTCGCTCCAGTTTCGGAATCTGCTTGCCATAACCTAAAACAAGTCACGGTCAGTGTTGGGGACCCCCATGCGGATGTCCAAGCTTGCGCTTGCACTCAGTGCTCGAGCCAAATCTTCTACTCCAAGTCAACGGCAATCACAAGCAATTGGAATTCCATAACAATATTGAGCGGATATATAGATGATAGTTTTGAGTGCGCGATTCCCAAACAACAGGGAACTCATGATGGCCTCTTCATCTTCAAAGCTAGCCTCTGACAATCGCCTGACAAGACATGGGCCACACGCCGAATTTTCGTGCTGGTCAAAGCCCCGAACTGAAACCCCTGGCCTCTCGTCAGCCTGAAACCGAGCGGAGGATCGTTTGCCAAGTCAGCAAGACAGCGTAGGAGTTAAGCAACAAACAAGGTGTCCAAGTGATGAGTAGCAGTAGCAAAATTTACGCGTTGATGGATATGCGTAGACGGAGCTTGGCGACAAAGGTTCGCATGAGAGTCCGCAAAGACCAAGGAAGGGAACCCAAGACCCATTCTGCTGGACGGTTGAGTCGACCGTTTCGCTGGTGGACTGTTCTGAGGACGTTAGATGAAATAGCATGAAATGCACGCATTCTGCTGCATCTGACGTTGTCTGCAGACTTCGTATCTGAACTGGCCCTGCCAGGCCTTACTATGATTTAATTACTACCTTCACCACCTCAATGAGGCCCTTTCCCTCATCCACTTCTTGGAAAACCAGCCAGAAAGAACATCTGAGTCAATCTGGAACTTTGCTTTGTGCGACGACCCCAATGTACACTCAGAGTACGACTCCGTACCTAGTCCACTCTGGGGCGGCCCCAGTTCCGACACCGAGGCACTTAGATGTGGTTGACGAAGTGGTTGACATCAGCAACCCGAGGAGCAACCCGAGTCATGCAAAAAGGACTGGGATTTACGGGCACAAATGAAATCTCCCGTGATCCGGGGTTTTGCGGTTCAGAATTCTCTTTCGTGCTTAGATCAAAGCAAGGTGTGCTTCTTGTCTGACTCACCTTCGCCTTGATTTTATGTTCACGTCTTGTGCCGACCTCGCCGAACGAATGGGGCTCAGCCACTGCCGTTTTCTTCAAGTTGAACAAGTGGATGAATTCCGTTGAGCTCACGCCTCGGACCGGAGACGTCAGGAGAACACGGAAGGTTTGTGGAAAAATAGTGTGAAACGACGCGAAAAATCAACTTCTTCACCCTGCTACGTCCTTGCTCCTAGTAGCGATGCCCGGGTTCCTAGTAGCGATGTCAGGGGCCCCAGGAGCCCCTAGTAGCTTCTTGTTCCTAGCAGCGTCCTTGCTACACTCCCAAAACTCGTCTCAGGGCATGGCTGGCAAACCTGGCTGTGAAAGCTTGGTGCGACGCGACAGGTGGTGTGTGTTCATTCTGTGTTCCCCCAAATGGATTTCCCGGTGGAGTTTTGCTTGGAACAATGGAGGCCGCAAAAGTGTGATGAGTGAAATCGGGTGAAATCAAGTGAATAGAAAGGAAAATGGATAAACGTGAAAAGTGCACTCCAGGATTCATTGAAAGTGATTGAACCGTTCTAAGCCGCAAGCATTTCATTTGACAATCTTTTGCTGTTACAGTTACAATACATAAATTTCAAGTGGTGAACCCTTTGAATGTGTGGCCAGCCTGAGGCCCTTTGCCTTCTTGTTGATGGACTTTTGCTGCGTATGTTTTACCATTTTGTAGCCTCTTCGTGTCGTTGATTAAACATGAGACCCCAAAAAAGTTTCAAAGCGTTCCAACTGCGTTCTACTGGAGGCCATCGCTATTCGGTTGGAGGCCATTACTACTGGTGTTGACCGATGTCTTCCAATGTAGTTGCACGCGTGTGGCCACTGCGCATCACCGCCAATCAGCCAGGCCAGCTCATCAAACCTGAGGTGGGTGTGTATTAAAAGCAGGCGGACCTCCCTGTTTGACCTCCGGGAAAAAGGGAAATAGACCAGGACCCATTGGTTGGGGTCCCCCCTACTACAATACACACCCAAGTGCTTAACATGGCCAAAAGAAACAAACCCAGAAAAGCACTGAAACTTGGAAATGAAAGACTCAGTTGGCAGCCCACCGGCGATGATAACTTCATCCTCTCCATACCTCACATCCAAATCAGTGCTACTAGGTGAAGGCCTTTAGACATTCGTTTTTCACTTGCTTTCTTTCTTGTCCTTCCTCGTTTGGGGTTGGAGGCCATCGCTAGCAGGTTGGCGTCCAGTTGTTGAAACATTGGAGTCAGCTCAGCGCAGGGCATTGACGCCACGCAACAGGCCCGGCGCGTGAGCAAGCGCGGCCCTGGGTGTGATGTCAACGCCTGCAGAACAAACCAAAGAAACACAGGACAAACGAAAACAAACATGAGAACCAACATATTGCAGTAAAGTAGGCAAATGAAAGCCAGCTTCCAGTATGAAAATTGAACGCGGCGAAAGCCGTGCAAGGCTTTAATCGTCCAATATGTCTGAATTACATCTGTTCTGCGAACAAATTGGCAGAATGAGAGCGGAGTGGCAGAAATTGGGTTCGAATGCCCTTTCTATTCACAAATTCATTTTGAAGGTTTCACGCTGCTTTTGCAAAGCATGTTCCTGGATACATCCCGTCCAAGTGGTTTTAATGTGCACATTATATAGTCTTCCACGCATGTCCAAGCAGAATCTCTAGAGCATGCCGAAATGCCGACCCAAAGAAGCATCGCACAAGGACTTGAGCAAGTGCTGCTTGGGCAACTCCGTTTTGCTCCTCGCCTCCCCGAATTGAAGCCTCTCCACCGGCGCTAGTAATTATGCTAAGTGCTACGGCGTACGGTAATCCACGTCATGACTTGCCAACCTGAGAAGTACAAACCTGTCTAACGCACCACCATAATTACGCGACCGCCCAGAGGAGCCGAGCAACTAATCGCCCAGCGTAGAAGCACAAGAGCTCTCTCCCGACCATCTATAGTCTTTACTTCTGTGATTTAAGGCCGTGACCCAAGCACCCACCTTCTGCTGGCGCTTTCACAGTAGCCACAGGGATGCAAATCCGAAGACTTCCGCGGCGCGGAACTAGAGATCCAACTGCCCCCCGGCACAACGTTCCCGGGAGCAGTGCTTCTAAGCACTGCGCATCGTCTAACACCTCGAAAGCTCTTACAGAACGACAGTGCATCCCACAATAAAACAGCTTTGCAATCCCTATTGTCTCTTGGCTTTGGAGCTTTGGACCCTCCCCACACACTCCCACATCCGGTGTCGCACGATGACAACAAACACTGCAGACACGACCGCAGCTCGGTCGCATCATTCGTCCAGTTTCTAACCCACCCTTTCACACAACACTTCCAACCTCATACCCCCTTGTTCGTTGCACATTGCGTCATATGTTACAAACCGTCTGGAAAGCTCCGCAAACGCAGAAGACGCAGCGTCCGCAAGTATGAGACCGTTGACTTCGATCGCTCTTCATGCTACACGCTGCTAAACACCAGGGCGACATGCTGGGTTAAAGGTCTTGGACGTGGTGTGACCTTATGGAACTACTCCTGAAACAAGGACGCTACTAGGGGCTCCTGGCATCGCTACGAACGGAGCAAGGACGGGCATGCCTTCTACTTCCCGATCTGTCTGAAACTCGCCTCCAAGTCCAGGACTTCGGTGCTGGACCCTGCATCGGGACCATAGCCACCCACCACCAACACCTGACACGACACCGGGGACGAGTCGTCCGTGTCTCCACGCACGGCTGCGGCCCAGGCCCACGGCAAAGGCAAGTCAGGATCATCTTCTTCCGACCTCGGATGGGAGACCCATGGCAGCTCACTAAGAAGGTCACACATGCTCCCTTTGAATCTGGAGCCGCATGATTCAAGGGCCTAAATATGGTCCTTTCTTCATCTCTCTGTTTTTTGGAGCACTGCTATAGCACTGCGTAGTGAAAGGGTCCACACATTGGGAGCGGCAAGGTCACCGCCGCTGAACCAGCTCGAGGATACAACCTGGAACCAAGATGGCTTCTTCACAAGGAGTAGTTTAAGGCCAACATCTAAGATCTTCACAGACATTCACGGACCTTCCTGTGTTCCAGTTTGTTCCTTTTCCAATTTTTTGGGATTGTCCTGAGTCCTATTTGCTTTCTCATGTTTTGGCATGCTTTCTCTGTAGGCCTCTAAGCCTTTCTTTCTTCCTCTCCTTCTTTCGTTCTTTTCAAGGTTTTGGCACAACTTGTCACAGAAAGTTGAGCTCTCCGAATTACTGAAACAATAGAGCAGGCAAAACCAAGCAGAGTGCACGCATGTGCACGCAAGCGCAGCATGCTGATAAATCTCTGGGGATAATGCAAAACGCTGCTTTTACAGTGAGAGGCCATCATGCAAATACAAGCAACAAAGGGCATCGCTATTGGTAGCAAGGGCATCGCTATTTCTAGCATTCTTACTTGAAGGCTAAATGGAGGGTGTGTGGAGAAAGGGGGTCAGCAAAAATCGCTTATATGAAGTTAGTGCATCAAAAATACCTTCCACAAAGTTTCTGCGAAGGCTTCAGGGATTTCGTTGCAGTCAGTTCTCCTACTGGCCCACCATTCCACGAACTGTCCACGAGTAGGGTTGGGTTCTACGAATGTCCCACGCCTTCCGCGATGTTAGTAGAATAGGTGGTTGCAAAACCCTTTCTGTGCACTACCCTTCCGTTTGCCTTTGATTACTACTATAAACGAGAAAGCCAAGCTTCAAAGACCCGATGCGTAATTCCTACCGGGGCACCCACAAACGAACATGGCTTCGATACAAGGAAAGAGGCGGCCACCATCACCCTAAACCCCATGTAATCCAAGCATGAGGTTTTGGAAGAGAGACCGTTCTACAAACCAAACAGTTCTCTTAACAAAGCCCCGGACAATTTTCTACAAAAAGAAAAGAACCGAAAAGAATGCCTTATGTTATTTTTGTTTCTTTCTATGTTCTTCTTTTGTTTATGTGTGTCCCTTTCTGAACTGGAAATTGAAAAAAGCGCCCCATCGAAGGGGTCTCTGCCTTCCGTGGATCCAAATGAGCAAATCAAGAATGTAGAAGCCGCACATTAAAATACCGAAACAAAAATGGCTT